TTTTTCATGCAGGCGGGGGAGGGGGATAGCAGGGTAGATGGTGACGGGAAAAAAAAACCTGAAATTTTAAAGGAAAATCCTTTTTGGAGAGAGAGGTGAGGTGGGGTTTGGGTGGGTGGGTGTGTGGGGGGGGTTGGGGATAGGGTGGGGAAGGTTGAGAAGGAGTTTTGGAAAATATTTTCCCTTCTATTGATAAGGAAAAGATTTTCCTCCAATTAGAGGAAAATAAATTGATAAGGAAAATATTTTCCAAAATATTTAAGCCAACCAAATATGAGAAAATTAAAAAACATTTTCCGAAAAATATTTTCCTTCGTACCAAACACACCCCTAATCTTGAGTTGAATTATTCGTAGGTGTTAGTTTCCGCATTAGTAAAGGAAAGTCTGGACTTCGACAGTTAGGTTCCTGCATGCTCTCCCTTTGTTTTTATATGGCAAAATATCTTAAACCATCCCTAAACTTGGCTCAGATTATTAGTATCCTTCCCGAACTGTACTCGGTCTTAATTACCTCCTTCAACCTCATAGATACTGATGTGGCAAAAAGTGTGGGTACACTCGTCTGCCACGTATATTTTTCTATCTATGTGGCATTTTTTGAAAAATAAAATATTTTTTTACCTTTTTAAGAATATTACTTTTTTAGATAATTTTTTTCGAATAAAATTTATAATAAAACTTGGATATAATTACATTATTTAGGCTAAATATTTTTATTTGGCCAAAACTAACAAAGTTTTAGTTAATCTTTTTTTGAATTTGACTTGAAAATAAAGATTTATACAATTGAAATAAATAGTCTAGGCATCTAAAAAGTTATAAAATATACATAGTTGAAATAAATAGTCATTGCATCAAAAGAAGAAATAAAAAGAGCGTAAATTGCACTTGTAATTTTCTTGCAATTGTACACTCTTTTTATTTCTTCTTTTGATGCAATGACTATTTATTTCAACTGTGTATTTTTACTTTTTTAGGTAAAATGTGTATAAAAAAAAATAGAGCACCGTAATTTAGAGCTATATAAAAATTATAGTTAAAATAGTTAATTTCAAACTATGTATTTTTTATAACTTTTTAGATGCCTTGACTATTTATTTCAATTGTATAAATCTTTATTTTCAGGTCACATTTCAAAAAGATTAACTAAAACTTTATTATTTTTTGCCAAATAAAAATATTTAGCCTAAATAATGTAGTTCTATCCAAGTTTAATTATAAATTGTATTCGAAAAAAATTATCTAAAAAGTAATATTCTTAAAAAGGTAAAAAAAAATATTTTATTTTTAAAAAAAATGCCACATAGACAGAAAAATCCACGTGACAGGTGAGTGCACCCACACTTTTTGCCACATCAACGTCTAGAGGTAATGACTCTCAAAAGGCCAAGTTGAGGGGGGGTAATTAAGACCGGGCATAGTTCGGGAAGAATATTTATAATCTGAGCCAAGTTTAAGGGTGGTTTAAGGTATTTTGCCTTTTTATATAAAAACAAAAGAGAAAGATGAGAAATATTAAGATGATGCTATGTGTTGCATGATAACCTAATGTCAGGAGGTTTGACCTTCTTATTACAGTAACTCAAAATTAAAGGGATATATTAGAATTGTTCTTTCATCGCTATTACAATCTGAAAATAAAAGTCAAAAGACAATTTTGTTAGAAGTCAAATAAATACACTTTCTTTTGACAGGGAATAGAGAGATTTGCAGAGGTAAAAGAACATTTACCCAAAAGCTCTTACAAGTACAAATAATTGTAAGAGAAAGATGGATGAAAGCAAAACTAACCTTGCAACCAAAAGAATCATCCTTAAGCAATCAATTTTTAACCCTCAAAACAATTCCTTGCTGTTGCTCTATGTCATGCTGGGATCCATTCTTCAGATTTCCACTAGTAAATTTTAGGCTACTTTCTAGACATCTTCTCCTTCCAGGTCTTTGATCTTTCTTCTTCTCTTTAGCACTAGAATCTAATGGACTAGAACTGGTTACTTCTTTTGCTTTCTAGTGACTCCTCTTGGCATCAGTTCTTGTTGACTTGCAAAACCAAGGAGAATGCTATTATTCCTTTCCCCCAACTTTATCTCCCTCAGCTGTAGAATTTAGCAAGTATAACAGCTAACAGCAGCAAATACTTAAATTAAAATCGAATTAATCAATAGAGACCCTAGTCAACCACCATAACTTGATTGAAACAGTGATGTAATCTAATCTTGCCATTTTTTACGACAGGACTATAAGTTTGGTTTCTGTCATGCTTCGGATTTTGAATAAAAGTCGGTAAATTCAAGAAATTCTCAAAATTCTTGTCTAGTTCATGTTTGTTTTACCACAAAATGGAATTTTTTCTTTTACTTGATCCAACCCCAGAAGATGCTTTTCTTTCCTTCTTTATTTCATGTATGAAGAAACTGTTGGAATTGAATCTGGATTTCGATAGTTACCTTCTCAGTGGTCCCTTAATTTCTGAAGATTCGCAAATCATTAGCATTGTCTCTTTCTTTGTCCATTAGAGTTCAACTTTGGGTGGCTGCCATTCTTCAAATCTTCCAACGACGAAGTCCACATTGAGACGTATAATCTCTTCACCATTTCAACAAGCAAAATAGCCAAATAAGTCTTTTCCTAGAAATTGTGTCAGACCTTTTTATATGGTTCACATCAGCATTGTTTTAATGGAATACCCTTCATTATGGTGCTTTTTCCAAGGTTGTTTTTCATTTGACAGTAGCACGTGAACATTTTCTTTGCCGACTTACATCTTTTTTAACTTTCCCAACTATATAAATCCTAAATAACCTGTCAATTCCATTGTTCTGTCCATGCTCTTCTTCAGTCATCAAAGTGATCACAAAAGTGCCAAATATGTTGCCTCGTCCACCGCTTCCTTTTATTGTCCACCTAGTGCCTTCTTATCCATTAGCTTTGTCTAGCAACTTGACAAACACAACATCTTATCCTTGAGGAGATAAATTCCAACAACACAATATCCTCCCTTATCAATTGAATATGAATCTGGCTTGCATCTTTCGTCACAGAACGTCATATCAGGCACAGAAAGGATTGACTCTTCAATTTTTTCTTTCTTTTTTTTTCAAATCATCCGGTTTTCAGAACTCGTACCTGATTTATCCGGAATCACACTGCTGATAGCTCACTATGGGGAGTTTTTAGCATCCCTACTGAAGCGGAGTCCATTCCCAGGGCACGAACCAAAGAAGGTCACTGGTTAAGAGTGAAGGAATCGTAGCATTCCACCACATACTTCGATGGCCTCTTCAATCTTTTCTGGTTACAGCATTTTATGCTCAATGCCATGTGCTTTAGAGCTGAACTTGATAGAGGAATGCACCTCGAAGTATAAATGTACCAAGTGTTTAAAGCAATGGAATGTTACCTTACCACATCATGTGTGCTCTGATGGAAGGATCCCACAACAACAAGCACTACCGCAAAAGCATTGAGAGCCTGTTGGGTTAAGCGTAGTATCCCCATAACTGAAACTGAGCTCTTCATTCTCCAAAATATCCCTGGAAGAGAAAAAGCAAACTCGGGGTAGCAATGCTCCCGAACTTCGAACTATCATTGTACAAAGGTTACCACCATCGCAGGAATGGTTAATGAAACGTGCAATATTGCCAATTCTGGTAGCATCAATGTTGATTCTCATGCACACATTTCCAGATGGAAGGTGCTCCTTCACAACCAGCAGGGCAGGCGAAAAGTGGCTACTCTTTGAAATTTTGTCATATAGTTTATGGCGATTTCTTGCTTCCTCGGTGGTCAAAAGTTCTCCTGCAAAAAGAAAAAGAAAATCATGCCCAAAAAAGACCTTGCACATGATAAAACATTAAACTGAATTTTATAGGTCTTCAGATGTCAAAAAGCTTTTGAAATTATCATTCATAGGTAAACTGAATTTATCAAAATTTATCCTAGTAGTATGAACAAAAAGAAAACTACTAAACCCTGTTGTCCTTTCATTACTTCACCTGAAAACTTTGAACTGCCTCCCTAATTCAAGTTGTTTAACCATCTAATCTTTTCACAAAACCAAAAGCATGAGCCTTATCTGCTGATTTCAACCTCTTAGGGTCAGAAAGCCTATCAAAAGAAAGCTCTAGGCTTATACACACGTCTGTGCTTTTGTGTATAAGCAAGAAACGGACGGAGTTAAAATATTCCAGAGTTCACACTTCAACATGTCGTCTTTCCACCACACGTACAACCATTACCCTCATTTAAAACCAAGAAATATAAAAAAGATCCTACCAAAGATTCAAAACTTCTCCATAAATCACAACCACAGACCGGAAAATCAATTGCTTTCGACCACATCAAACATTGGATCAATGGTATTCACTACAAACCCAAATTCAGTTTCCTCACTTCTGCACCTTAAGCAGCATATGGCCAGAACCGTGAGAATATTTAGTTTTTCTTGGTGTTACGTTTTTGACTTAAATCCCCTATTTCTTTATATCACAACATCTTGTTTATTGGCCCGATGTTTTTCACTGCTCAATATATGTCATATCAATTATGCATCAATTCCAAATAGTCAGAGTTGAGTATATGAATCCTTTGTGTTCATTCCACTCATTTCAGCCCAGTTTATTCCAATACCAATAAATTATTTTCTTCTCCTTCTCTCTCTATTTTGTTTTAAGAATTTTTTTTTGTGAATTGGATTTCTTTAAAACTAAAGATTCTCTAAATCTCACACTTATCCCTACCACTGTGATACAAGTCTTTTAAGGAGAAAACTCCTAGCAAACAACAAAACTAGCATAAGTGTGATAACAACTGGTCCCTGTATAGAGCCTTTGCCAATGGTTTCATCAATATAGCCATTAATTAACAAACTCTTTCAACGATGCTCCATACTGATCAGTAAGTAAGTTCAGTTCGCCTGAGATAAGAATCAATCTGAAACCTTGGGTTGGTTAAACTTAGTACCCTGGGAACATCAGCCTTGAAAAAGTTTACAGATTGTCCCACCAAGTCACCAACTGAGCATTGCATGACAATCTTTATCGATTTGTCAATGTTCCCATCCACATAATAAAGCAACTCAAGAGGCATATTAGATGCAGTGTCTTAAATCTAACTATCTAAAACCTTGTAATCGGCATAATGGGAGTTCATGCGAGCATATTGTTCTGTGCCAACAGTCAATTATATCAGACTACAACTATAAACAGAAAAAGGAAAACCGTAAACCATTCCTCGAATAATCCAAGGAAAAGCCTAACAAAGATCAGTTACCAACCAATAACAATTTATTTCAGAGTAATGAGCTATCAATTTACTCTCGGAATTCATTTAGCTATGGAGTACAAGTAAGGGTAGCTTACTCTAAAAATTCATTTAATACCTTGCAAAAAAAACCCAAAGAAAAAAATGTTATATTAAACAACAACAATAACAATAGAAATAATAACAGAAATACCTGTGTACTCGCATATGAACTTCCCTTTTGGAGTGAAATCAGCAGCAACCAAACTCCACCCTTTTCTCCTATCCTTCACAACCTTCAGCTTCGCTGATACTCCTTTCTGAGTTAACCTGTTCCCGCACTCTGACCCGCACTGGCAACTTGGCCCGCATTCTCGGGTTGGCAACCCGGAAGAAAAGTCGATGCACGGGCAATCCAAGTCGCAACTCTCACACCCGCACCCGTCAGAACCTTCCACCCGGATTAGGAACGGGTCCTGCCTAACCCGACCTGAACCTCCAAGTTCTCCTCCCCAGAATAGACCGGCGATGGATGGGGAGGTGGGTAGGGTCTGAACAGGGGAGTAGATGAAGTAGGCGTAAAGTTCGGAGTCGACGGAGTTGAAGAAAGAAATGGGGTAAGTCTCCATGCCTCTAGAAGCGTCGGAGATTCTTCTGGAAGTAATAGCCTTGGAAACTACACGTAACGCCTTGCAGGTTGCTGAGACGGAGGCTAGACCTGCAGGTTCTAAGTATGGCAACACGAGATGGGCAAACCGGCAAAGTAATCCGCCGTCGTATTGTTCCCCTTCGCCGGTCCTTTGTTGTTTGTCCATTGCGTTGCACTTTCCAAGCTTGGAGAGCTCTCAGTGGATCTGATTCTGACTTGTGTTTCTGTGCGCTTACTCTTGTTTGGATATATTGTAATTTATTGTTTTATATATACAATGTTTGGATACATAGTATGTTTATTATTTTTAAACAAAACTTTTATGTTTACCATTATATATATTATTATAAAAGTATGAATACAATGTTGGTTTACAAAAATAACCTTATAATATTAAGCATAATAACTCACAATAAAAGGATATAATCGGAATTCTAAACATTAACCTTGTAATCCTATTAGCTTTAGGACATAATACTATACATTAGAAATCCTACAATTAAATAGCCCTCCAATCATTAAAGTTAACTTCTACTAGAAAAGGACAATTATTAATATGAACAAGAGATCTCCCTTTTTTAAAGGCGAACAAGAGTTCTATTTGTTTACCTCAAAAATACGAGTAACAATTAAATTTGATTTGTGGTTTTAAAGATATGTGATTAAATTCAATACCAATTATTATTCAAGAAATATGAAGTAAAAATAAAAGAAATAAGCTAATCAAACCAATGTTACTCAGTAGTGGTGACCTCGAGCTTAGTGACCTCGAGATGAACCAGGAACAATAAAATAAAAATAGTAAGGAGAAAGAATAATTCTGATGAACAGTAAGCAAAAAGTAAGAGTATATTCTTTACTAATGATTAGATGATGTTATAAATGATTGGGGTCCCCTTTATATAATAGGGGAACCCTAAATAAGGTACATTTCTATTTACAGTAAGGAGTATTATTGGTACAGCTGTCTAACCGCCTAGTACGGAATCGTACAATCTTATTCCGGGATTTGCACCATGATCTTGGGGACGTGGCAGGAATTTAGTTCATTCTGTTACAAATCTATAACGCCACAATTTCGGGGTTGAGCATACTGAACTTCGGTATTCCTCGCACTCCTATCTTCAGGCATTGCATTCCGTCCTCGAGCTTGAGTCTAGTCTGTCGACCTCGAAGTGGAGCTTACTTGAACTCGGACCTAAGGCGATCCCCCGAGCCTAGGAAATCGGGTGTGCCTGATTTCGACCGTATATAGATAGTCCCCGCGTTTCTCAGAGTAGGTCGATAAGAAACGATTTGCTCTTCAATGCTCCGATGCCTCGGTCCCAATGTCAATCTCGTGATGTCAGCGGCTGAAGTGACTGAAAGGTCGCTTTTGTGCAGTTCCTAAAGTCATTAATTGGAGGCAGCTGACGGTCGGCTATTTGGCTTCCCCAATACGCTTAAGTGACTTCTATAAATAGGCCAACTTCACAACTTTTGCAAACTTTATTTCTCTAATTGTTTTCAAAATCTCATTAGCTCCTTCAACTTCTCTGAGTTCATCCTTCTCTTTAACTTGCCCTTACTTCATCATCAACCCTTTCTCTCTGAATTTCTACACCATAATGGCCAAACATCTAAATCTGTTCCTCAAAAAGAAAAACCTCTCCATCATCGCGACCGGCCAAAAGTAAAACGGTAGTGCCACCTCGTATCGAGGATGTATCCCCCCGCCGTGTGAAACAACCTCCGATTTCAAAATCGAGAAACCTGTATTGACACCAGGCCGATGTGAGTCCATGTCTCGATACATTTGTTTGATAACCAAAGATGAGCTCCAGCAGGTGAAAGGGGACTGCAACTGGGAGAACAAAGTTGTAGTGATCCCTTCCCTTGAAGAGGACATTACTACTCACAAAGCAGGGTACTTAAGCGTGTACACCTACCTGTTCACGCTGGGCCGTGCTGATCTAGCTCTTGGTCCCATTGATCCAGTTATTCTTGATTTTTGCCAACAATACCAAGTGACGCTTGGACAAATATATCCTTCATTCTGGCGCATCGTCAATCTGATCAGATTTTTCTCGAAACAGGTCGAGGGAATGCCTTTTACGCTCGATCATCTGATCAGGCTATACAGTCCTCGTCTCTATCGAGGCGGCCTAATGAAGTTGCATTGCCGATCCACAAAATCTCTTTTCTCTAGCATCGATAAAGACAAAGATCGAGGGTGGATAAGCCGATTTGTCCGAGTCAAGACTTCTAATCCGATACCTGCTGAGAGGATGCCATTCCCTGAAGAATGGAATATGAAACGTAAGTACACATTTGTCGATAATGACCTTATTGCCTATTTTTCCTTTTCATTTTCGATTTCATCTTTTTTCTCGGTCTAACTCCTTTTCGATGGCGTAGTTGTTGCTTGGTTTTCTGGTGCGGTCCCAGACCTCGAAGGTTGGGTCCGGAAGCTGGTCTCTACTTCTTCGTACGCGGAGCGCAGCTGGCATGATTTGGCCAAAGGTCGATGGGAGGCTAAAAACCATGGTGAGTCCTCTTGTTTGTTTATTTGTGCTTCTCAGAGAAATACTTACTTTGTCTTTATGCAGGCCTCGGAGACGCCATTGCTATGCGGCCAACCCCGCCTGGTGAAGAGGAAATCCCAAAGCCTTCTAAAGAAAAGAAAAGAAAAGGAAGAGGGGATCTACAAATTCCCCGAAGCCGAAGAAAAGCAAGGCTCGAAAGCCTAAGGCCGATATTGTGGCCCTATCTCCAGGAACGGTCCAACGCCTTAGGGAAGAGGAGGAAGAGAGGGAGCACGACGACTGCCTGTTAGTAGTTCGTAAAAGAGGAAGCACTGACGCTTCGAAGTCTGCCGAACCGATGATGGCTGATGTGGTTCATTCCAGGACCAAAGAAATCTCCGAGGGGAGTTCGAACAAAGTTCCCGAGCCATCGGGCAGCAAAAGAGCACCTGGTCTTGGAGGTCATTTGGAGGGTGAGACCGAGGGGCCCGGTCCCGAGGTCCTTCAAATTGAGGAGAATGCCCCGAGTGGATCACTTGGGGGTAATTAATATGGACGAGTCGCCGCCTGGTCCTGAGTTCTCCGAGGGGCGATTCCGAGACGCTCGAAACATGAGAACTCCTGACGTGGGGACGAGCCACGAAGGGCATGATATCTTTCGAGAATAGCTTGCAGGGATCGAAGATGGCCCTGACCCAGATGCTTCTTTTATTTTTGACGAGACCCATCGGCTCTTCAAACAAGTTTCTGTCCTTTAAAATTACGCCTACGCCTTATCCTTGTTGTTCTGAGCCTAACTTTTCCCTTTTTGTGAAGGTTATGACGCTCCATAAAGAAGCATTCTCGAAGTCTCGAGCTGAGCTTGCTCGATGTGAGGTCGAGCTTAAGAAAATCTCAGAAGAGAGGGACGGTCTTAAAACCCTCTATGTCAAGAAAGAGGAGGAGATCAGTGACCTTCGAGTTGAACTGACGGAGGCTCGTCAAGAACGGACCGAGCTTGTCGAAAAGGTAACATACCCTTCGAAGTTTTGTTATGCATTTGCCCGATTGGTCGGCCAATGCTTCAACTTTGCAGGTTCATCAAAAGGGCGAGCTGGTGGAGCAGCTCCGAGAGGAGCTCAAGATGAAGGAGGCTGAAACCCTAGGGAGGAGGCAAGGCATGGACCGTCTCACTTCGAAGAAGGATACTCTTCGGGAGAAACTGGCTTCAATCGAACGCCAGCTTCAAAGTGTGAAGGAGGAGAGCCTGGCTCGAAGCCGCAAAATCGAGAAGCTTGAAGCTAAATCTGCTATTGAGATTGCTAAGGCCATATCTGTTATATCTTCGTATCGAGCCGACGCTGAAGCAGCTAACACCCGGGCAAAGGATATCTCCGCTGCGTCCAAAGTTAAGCTATCATGTGCACTTGATCATGCCAGGCAATAGTCCCGGAGAGAAACCCACGAGGAGGTGCATGCTCGTGGCTTCGATCTCTCAGTCAATATTGAAAAAGCAAAGACTTTAGAAGAAGAGGCTGCCACTTTGCTTTCTGATGACGAGGATTGAGCCAGTAGCTTCGAGAGCGGAGGAGACGAAGACGAATTCCCCGAGGGGGAGGTTCCCGAGGGCGAAGATCCCGAAGGTGCAGCTGCCGAAGATGTGGCCCCGGAGTAGATTTAAGTTTCTTTATTTTGTGTTTTTGTGCAAGTACCCCTCGTGTAAATATCTTTTGTAATCATCTCTTGGCAATACAAAAGGACCTCTTTCTTTGAATTTCATTTTGTCCTCATTCGTGGAAAATTCGATTGTAATGATCGATCAGAGTATTGGTTTGGACTCAGAACATAATTAACCCTTAGGTTTTTATTGATCAATATAATACCCCTTAAGGTTTTTGTTAACCCTCGAGCTAAGTATAAATTGATTTGATGCAAGCTAGGGATGTCGGGACTTTAGAGTCCGAGTAGAGTGAAAGCAAGGTCTCAAACCCTATATATATTTGCCCTTAGGCTCTTTTAGGTTGGCCCTTAGGCTCTTTGGGGTTGGCCCTTAGGCTCTTTAAGTTGGGTCGAGTCGGCCTCTAAAGTGGCTATAATTTTTCCCTTTTTTCAAAGACTTAGTGAAAATTTTGGTATGCCTTAGCATGTGTTTTTTGTACCCGTTTGGGTTTTTCGAAGGTTCGACGTATCGGAACCTTATTAGTAATTTGTTTGTGTAAACATAATTGAATGCCTCTTGAGGTTTTCTCGAAGGCTGATGTTCATCGAAGCCTCTAAATTATTCGAGGGTTGATTTTATCGAAGCCTTTTATCTTTGCTTTTTCCAAGTGTAGCCTGATTTACCGATTTTTTTAAAGTGTTTGAAGGCCTTTAATTAATGGAGGAAGTCAGACGTCTCCGAGCCGCATTATCTCAGCCGTAGCCTTTTTATATGACCATAATCTTTAATATGGCCGTAGCCTTCAGGTATGTCTCTTGGACTTATTTCCCGATAACCTTTCGAACTTGTTCGAAAGGTTAGTCCCCGAGTATGTTGGCCTTGGCCTTTGTATCGAGGGAGTTCCTCTTTGAGGTCTTATGAGCCCGAGTTTTCGATGACTTGAATGTTCTGACTGTCGCTGTCAGTCCCCGAGTATCTCGGGAGTGCATTCATGTTCTGGCTCTTGAGCCGTTTCCCATAGGATTATAAGTGTAGAGCTCGTATAATAGTAGACTTATTTGAGATACAAAGTGTTTTTGATATAAA